GATAGAGATATGATAAGTAACTAATTAACTAAGTAAAATCAATTGGGGACTTTTTTCCCTAACCTCTGTCAAAAAAAAGTTTTAATCAACTGGTCCAATGATTTGACAGTCTTTTGTAGACTTAGTGAAAATGTATGCAATGGATAGTATTTCCCAAGAAAGAGATACCGTATTCTTTGGACTATAAGAAGCACTGGTGTATAAGACGCACCAGGATTTCGAAGAGGTAAGTAAGGGGGGAAAAGGTTTTTGCCCTCCCTGGCCCCCAGGAGCCCTCTGCAGGCCTCTGCGTGCCCCGTTTTTCATAAAAATGGAGCCGTTTTTGCCCATTTTTGCAAAAGGGGTACGCAGAGGGTTTGGGAGGCCTGCAGAGTGCTCCTGGGGGCTGGGGGAGGACAAAAATGAAAAAGTGAAAAATGGGGAGATTTTTGCCCTCCCCAGCCCCCAGGAGCACTCTGCAGGCCTCCCAAACCCTTTGCGCACCCTGTTTTTTTGAAAAATGGGCCCATTTTTCACAAAAATGGGACTTCGGGAGGCCAAAAATGGCTGTATTAGGTGTATAAGACGCACCAACATTTCCACCATCTTTTTTTGGGGGGGGAGTTTGCCTTATATTCTGAAAAATACAGTATATTCTCAAATTCAGCTTTTGACATTTCCCCAGCTTTCCTTAGAATAGATGCATGAGCATTATTCTTCATATATAATCACTTCCATCTATGATTGCTGTCATATGTTTTCCGTTTGGAAGAAAGGAGCACAATGACAAACCCTTGGAGCACCATCAACAAAGGGACTTTTTCTTCCTAAGTGCCATTCATCTGTGTGATATGCTTGTGACTCCATTCTGGGACTGTTTGCATATAATCCTTGCACAAATATACATTTTGGTAATCGGAGGTGGATTTCAACACACTCCAAGTCTTAAGTGCTATTAATTATTTCACCCACTCAGCCAGCCGTAAGAACCATTAATTACCAAAGAGGAATGATAGCAATTGACTCTCGCGCATAAGATTTCTAATTTCTAAACATTTGGGAGGGGGGGAAGGAACTCTGGCGTTAGAAGGAATATATTTTCTCCAGGTCACCTTCAGAAATCTGCTTATAGAAAGAACATGTAAGCTCACCCCCACGTGGACAACATCTGTCACTTAGAATGGCAGGGGCACAAAACATTCTCTTTCCATCAGCATGATTGACTCCCTTTTGTTTAAACAGATTTTCAAATTATTTAAAAGTCAATACCGAGGGGGGGGAGAAAATCCCAAACCTACCAAGTCCGCCTCACATTTTGGAGGCCGTTCCAAAGGATTTGCAGCTATAAGAAGGAGCAAACGGAAAGCAAGAGTTTATTTAATTTATTTATTTCCTTTGAACTGGATTTCAGTAAAAGTCAATATTAGCAAAAAGGTTTATAGTCAAATACAAAACTGGTTGTTGGCAATTGCTAATATGAACCTCTCTGGCGAAAGCAGGTAGTCCTCAACTTACAGCCACAGTTGGGACTAGATTTTTGTTGTTGTTAAGTGACTTATGCCAGATTTTACGGTCTTTCCTGCCACAGTTGTTAATAGCAATAGCACTTAGACTTATATACCGTTTTACAGTGTTTTACAGCCCTCTCTAAATGATTTTACAGAGTCAGCATATTGCCCCCAACGAGCTGGGTCCTCCTTTTACCGACCTCGGAAGGATGGAAGGCTTAGTCAAACTTGAGCCTGATGAGATTTGAACTGCCAAATTGCAGGCAGCCAGCAGGCAGCAGAAGTAGCCTGCAGTACTGCACTCTAACCACTGCGCCACCATGGCTCATTTAAGCAAATTACCACAGTTAAGTGACTTATTCAGTCCTTAAGCAAATTGAGCCCCCCCCCCTTGATTTTCCTTGTTGGAAGCTGGCTGGGAAAATCTCAAATGGCGATCACAAAACACTGCAACCATCATAAATATAGGTTGGTTGCCAAGTACTCCAGTTTTCATCCCATGAGTGGTACACATGCAGTAACGATCATAAGTGTGAGGGTTGGTGTGGTAAGCCACTTTTTTCAATGTTGCGGTAACTTCGAATGGTTGTAAATTGAAAAATACCTGCAGTGGAAATGGATGGAAGGGAAGGAGATTATGAGTAGAATCCATATTTCAAATAGAAAAAGAAAGTAAGGAAGCAGGTAAGGAAGAAATTACTTCACTTGGCTCAAAATAAGAGCTCCCCCAAAGCTTATGGACCTGTTCCCTATAAAAAATTCTGGAGCATTAATAGCTGTAAGGTTTAGACACATTTCTGAATGGAATTCTGCATTCTTCTCCCTCAGACGCAGAGAATATAGAATGGCATTTATAGAGAATATAGACTGTATAAAGAATATACATGTAGGAGAATATAGAATTTATACATGTTCACTCCATTGCCTGAATGGTGACTTTTTAAACAAAAAACTTTCCAGTTCTACCCATCACATTTGATGTATGGCATTGCACAGATTATTGCAATATTGTGTCCCCTTAATAAATACGGAATGCAAGATCATCTATAAGATTTAGCTTGTCTTTGGTTAGGGAGTTCTGCCACAGATAGGATATATGCCAATCATGCTTCTTATTTCCCAGCATGAACCTATTTGTCTTTGAACCATCCTTTCCAGACTGCTTCCTGCCTAAATAAGTTCACGGTATTTTCTGATCAGGATTTGTTTTTAAACTCTTTGTTAAATTCTTTGTCCCCCACCGCTGATTTCCCTTGCTCTCTCCCTCATACTTTTCCAAGTACAATTCCTCCTCCTCCTCCTCCTCCTCCTCCTCCTCCTCCTCCTCCTCCTCCTCCTCCTCCTCCTCCTCCTCTTCCTCTTCCTCTTCTTCTTCTTCTTCTTCTTCTTCTTCTTCTTCTTCTTCTTCTTCTTCTTCTTCTTCTTCTTCTTCTTCTTCCATATCCGTCATCGGATGTTGGCGATCATGTTGGCAATCCTATTTTTGTCAACAGCCATATGAAAAAGTGCTGCTGAGTTTTGTCCAAACCAATCCCTTAGATTTTGAAGCCATGATGTTCTTCTTCTGCCTGGACCTCATTTGCCTTCAATCTTTCCCTGGAGGATTAAGTGAAGGATGCCATATTTTTCTGGGTGTTGCATCACATGTCCAAATTATTCTAACTTTAGCTTTTTAATGGCTTTGATTATTTCCCTTTGCTTTCCCAGGTGGCTTATCACCTCCTCATTTGTGATTTTGTTAACCCATCTTATACATAACAGTCATCTGTAAATTCACATTTCAAATGCTTCTAGTTTCTTCAAGTGGTTTTCTGTCAGAGACCAGCTCTCTACTCCATAGAGCAGGATAGAAAAGATGTAACATCTGACAAGCCTGATTTTCAGTCTTAGGCTTATATCATGACTACAGAAGACATAAGGGGTGCTAAGAATCTCCCGGTCCACTAGAAACATGATAAACCCAAAACTACGAATTGGAACATGGAACCAAGTACAATTGTAACTTAGATTTATATTATGACAATATGCATAGAGTTATTTTATATTCTTTTCTTAATCATCATCACCAAAATAAATGTTGTGTTTTTCATTGTGACCACACTCCTGGTTGATATATCTGTTGAGTACAATTTCATTATCTTATTCTTAATCAATCACTCCCATATAATTTAAAAGGTAAAAGTCATCCATATGCAAGTAATCTGAATACATATTAGAAATATTCAGAAAACTACTTCGGGGGAGAGCTATGCTTTAATGAGGGAAAATCAATTGCAAAGAGAGGCAATTGCACCACAGATCTTATAACATATTTGATAATGATTGTCATGTATTTAAACTCTTTTTATGGAATGTTTGTGACCCAGTACTTCTTCTACAGTATAAGATTTCCACAAGCAGTGGAAACTTTCTTCCTGGTCAGTTAGCAACAGCACTAAGATTTATATACCTCTTTAGTGCCTTATAGCCCTGTCTAAGTGGTTTACAGAGTCAAGATATTGCCCCCAACGAGCTGGGTCCTCATTTTACAGACCTTGGAAGGATGGAAGGCTGAGTCAAACTTGAGCCGGTCAGAATTGAATTCCTGGCAATGAACAGTGAATTAGCCTACAATACTGCATTCTAACCACTGCACCACCACGGCTTCAGATACTCTTTAAAGATATAAGATATCTAAGGAGTTGTCTTCTTAGCTCCTTAGCAAGTCCGCTCACTTGCTCCAACAGAAGAGGCCTACTTTAGATCCTGTCTGCTAAAGAATTTTGGGTGGAGAGGTCCAAGACAAGAGACTTTTCTGCTGTAGCCACCAGTTATCTCCTCACTGGAAGTAAGGTCTACTCCAACACTCCTGGCCTTCTAGAAGAGTCTGAAAACTGCTGGGTGGCCTAAGAGCCCACTAGGGGCATACCATGTTGGGGGTGGCTCTTGGGGCAGAGAATCTCTTCCCCCATGGCACCCATCTTCTTCTCTTTTTTTAGCGTTCTATTTAATTGTCCTAATTTTAATTGCTTTGTATTACTCTTATTTTTTATTATTATATTTTAAGCTGCCTAGAATTGTCATATCAGTGTGATGGGGGAGAAAAAAAAACACTAACTAAATAGATTTAGTAAATAAAAAGTAACATGGACATCATAAAGTTAAGCAACTTATGGTGCTAGTCTGGATCCCCAGTATTATAATTATATTTGTCATGATAATTGCCGCTCTGTGAGGTGAGTAGGGCTGAGAGAGAAGGACTGAGCCAAGTTATTATACTGTCACATAGGCATGACACATCTGGATGACATGCATACTATTATGGTGACTTCTATAAATAGATAATGCCCAAAGATTTAATTGTGATTTTCAGCTCTGCATATTGCATTTCCTCTATTACAATCAAAAATTCTATCTTGGAAAATGCTAATGACTACTGATTGCTTAATCTTATAATTTTTGCCTTATTTAAATATGGGACAAAATGTTATTGTATTTAACAAAATATCTGATTTTATATTCAATCTTTTTCAGGAGCAACACAATCTTTTCAATTAGTTCTGAAGCGGGAGAAGTGGAGAAGAGCCTCTTTTGTTCCCAGCTAAACTAGAATTGAAATGATGGAGGATGACAACACGTTTAGTAAAGATACTGGATAAAACAAAGAATGTTTTATCAGTCAGGGTCTTACTTAGGTTAAGAGGCTTCTTAGCTTTGGTTTCATTAAAGATATTTGAATTTGGGATGTGTGTATGAATAAATATTCCTGAGTTGTAACATCTCAAACCGAAAGTAAACACTAAAATTTTAGATAATAAATTCGTTGTGAAAATATTTTATTGATGTTACTCATTGGATAGTTTGTTCTTTAACAATGTAAGTAGTATTTTTTTATGCTTGCTTTTGTAATGGAGCCTGGAAATTTCTACCACAAACAAGTAGCTCCAGAAAACTTTACTGGATTGCTAGAAAGGTCTCGTCCCTACCTCAATTTTAAAAGGCAAATGATTCAGTTCCGAGGGAGAGTTTTGTGAGACCATTAGTGACGTAGACACTACACTGACAGCCCTTGACTTTGTACACTGTTTTTTTAAAAAATTCCAGTATAAAGTTGGTTCATTTTCTTTTCAAAGTATAAGATGCTCCGGAGTATAAAACATACATTAGTTTTTGGGGAGGAAAACAAGAAAAAAAAAAATTCTGCCTCTGCCTACCAGCATCCCTCCATATTCATCTGGCTGGCGTTCTTCCTGCAAACAGCAAACAGCCTGGTTAGCTTCAGCACATTGTCACAGCCTGATTTAGCACAAACAGCTGATTGGCAGTTGGATCGGCCTCCTGGAATACTGCCAATCAGCTGTTCCATGCTGCGGGGATCACCAGAGCACATTACGTTTATGGCCTCCGCGCATCGTGTTTTTGGCCTTTGCATGCTCCGTTTTAGACCCGTTCCAGGCTGCGGGGATCACCACAGCACATTGCTGCCAATTGCCAACTCCGCACGTTGCATTTTCGGCCAGTTCCAGGCGGCAGGGATTTGCGATGATGTTCTGTGGCAATCCCCGCAACCTGGAACGGGTCTAAAATGGGGTATGCAGAGGCCGAAAACACGACATGCAGAGGCCAAAAATGGCCAAAGGGTGGTGGCCGGGGGGTGCTTGGAGCTTCGGCAACATTCGGTGTATAAGACACACCACAATTTTCACCCACTTTTTTTGGGGGGGGGAAGTGTGTTTTATACTCTGAAAAGTATGGTAAATGACACAAATCTCCCTTCCTGTGTGACAAAAGTAACATGCCACAACACAAAATGCTGATTCAGCTAGTCACACAACCACATCAAGATGTATTTCCTGATTTAATATACGAAGGTTTGTGCATCAATTGTAAAAAGGAGAAAGAAGTCAAAAGTACGGCAATTTGTATAATATTTGAAATTAGTGGAGAATTTCATCCCATTTCAGAAATGATAATTCAGAATTTTAAAATCCTGGAGAAAACCCAGAAAACAACACAAAATGTATGGGGGAGGGGACAGTGCTAAAGCAGAAATGATACTGACCAAAGTTGGGAAACAGTTTTACAACATAGCAATTTTCAAAAACTACCGTAATGGAAGCACTGCATTCAAGTACTACTTTTCCTTGAAAATCAAAATGAGAGAATATCCATGCAGGTCTAATGGCATTAAAAAGGTATCATCGGGTAATCATATACAAGCATTGACTTATGGATATACAGATTCTTGCCATATTAAACAAACAGAAAAGCAATATACTTGAGGTCAGAGATGAGCCACCCTACAACATCACAGCTGGCGTTTTCCAACTGTGATTGCAAACTTTGTTGATTTGCTTTCCATTCCATCCTTCTAATTGAAATAAACAAAGAAAAAGAGAATTTGATGAAGTCTGCATTTTTTTTTAAAAAAAAAAGTTGAAGATGCAGCAAAGGCATTATAGGAGAAGCATAAACTTTCAGAAACTGAAATCTTTATAAGCCATGGATGGAGAGAAAGAGAAAGATGATGACAATAATGATAGAGATAAATAAATAGATAGATAGATAGATAGATAGATAGATAGATAGATAGATAGATAGATAGATAGATAGATAGATAATGATGATAGATAGATATTATTATTATTATTATTATTATTATTATTATTATTATTATTATTATTATTATTATTATTATTATTATTATTATTATTATTATTAATTAAATTTTTATACCGCCTTTCTCCCGAAGGACTCAGGGCAGTGTACAGCCATATTAAAACAACATATACCCACAAAATTTAAAAACAGTTTAAAATATATTAAAAATTTGGCCCTTATATTAAAAACTACAAACACCCAATTAAAATTCATTTTCTAAGCCAGCCCGGCCTGTTGAAACAAAAGAGTCTTAAGGGCACGGCGAAAGGTACGTAGGTCGGGGATCATGCGAATCTCCGGGGGCAGTTCATTCCAGAGGGCAGGTGCCCCCACAGAGAAGGATCTCCCCCTGGGTGTCGCCAGTCAACATTGTTTGGCCGACGGCACCCTGAGGAGTTCCTCTCTGTGGGAGCGTATTGGCTGGTGGGAGGCTATCGGTGGCAGAAGGCAATCTCGTACATACCCAGGTCCTAAGCCATGGAGTGCTTTAAAGGTGGTAACCAACATCTTGAATCACATCCGGAAGACCACCAGGAGCCAGTGCAGCTCGCACAGGAGAGGTGTTACATGGGTGTGCCGAGTCACCCCCATAATCACCTGTGTGGCCGCATTCTGGATCAGTTGGAGCCTCTGAGTGCTCTTCAAGGGGAGCCCCATGTAGAGAGTGTTACAGTAGTCCAGATGGGACGTGACGAGGGCATGAGTGACCATGCACAAGGCATCCCGGTCCAGAAAGGGACACAACTGGTGGATCAGGCGAACCTGATAAAAAGCTCCCCTGGCCACAGCCATCATATGATCTTCTAAAGACAGCCGTGCATCCAGGAGAACCCCCAAGTTGTGAGCCCTCTCTGAGGGGGCCAAGATCTCGCCCCCAATAGTCAGCGATGGAGCCAGCTGGCTATACCAGGATGCCAGAAACCACAGCCACTCGGTCTTAAAAGGGTTGAGTCTGAGCTTGTTCCTCCCCATCCAGATCCGCATGGCTTCCAGGCATCGGGACATCACGTCAAGGGCATCATTGGGGTGGTCCTGGGTGAAGATGTACAGCTGAGTATCATCAGCATACTGATGGAACTTCACCCCAAAACCATGGATCATCTCACCCAGTGGCTTCACATAAATGTTGAACAGAAGGGGCGAGAGGACCGACCCTTGCGCCCCACAAACAAGGCGCCTCGAGGTCGACCTCTGTCCCCCTGCCAACACAAACTGCGTACGGTCAGAGAGGAAGGAGGAGAACCACCGCAGCACGGTGCCCCCCACTCCCAACCCCTCCAATCGGTGCAGCATGATACCATGGTCGACAGTATCAAAAGCCGCTGAGAGGTCTAATAGGACCAGGACAGAGGAACAGCCCCTGTCCCGAGCCCTCCAGAGATCATCAACCAATGCGACCAATGCCGTTTCCATGCTGTACCCCGGCCTGAAGCCCGACTGGAATGGATCCAGATAGACAGCTTCATCCAGGTACTGGGGAAGTTGTCGCGCCACCACACTCTCAACAACCTTTGCAACAAAGCGAAAGTTGGAGACTGGACAATAGTTTGCTAATGCAGCCGGGTCCAGGGAAGGCTTCTTGAGAAGGGGCCTCACCACCAATAGACAGACAGACAGACAGATAGATGATAGATATAGATAGATGATATTAGATAGTCAAATGATAAACAGATGGCGGAATATGGACAGATTTTCATCAAAGTGTTAAATAGAACAGAACAGAATGACAGAGTTGGAAGGGACCTTAGAGGTCTTCAAGTCCAACCCCTGCTCAGGCAGGAAATCCTATTGGGACACAAACTTTTTCCATATGTGCATATGATGTTATGATTTGTATATAAAAGGAATGGAATTTGTATCATGACACCACAACTTTGTTTCATCCTTTGTTCACTCCCCCACTGCCAAAATTGGCTTTCCCTGTGGATGGAAGGGTGGGAGGGAAGAGGAAGGAAGGAAGGAAAGAAAGAAAGAAGGGAGGGAGGAAAGAAAGAAAAAGAGAGAAAGAGAGAGAGAAAGAAAGAAGGAAAGAAGGAAGATAATAGATTGATGATAGATAGATAGAGAGATAGAGAGATAGAGAGATAGATGTTAGATGATAGAACTTGCAGGGAAAACCAAACAGCTTTCTGGAAGGATTTTCAAAAGTTGATCACTTCAGTTTTCTGATCTTCTCTCATTTCAATGGCTTTATATTAAATATAGAAAACCCTGGGCAGAATACCTCAAAATTTATCATGGGGGTCTCTCAAAGTACACAACTGACTGACTCTCAAATAAGAGAGAGAGAGAGAGAATCAGCTTGGCTAGAGACCTTCCCTCCAGTGGTGAAATCCATATTTTTTTACTACCGGTTCTGTGGGCGTGGCTTGGTGGGCGTGGTGTGGTGTGTGGCTTGATGGGTGTGGCTTTGTCGGTGTGGCTGAAGAAGGATACTGCAAAATCCCCATTCCCTCCCCACTCCTGGGGGAAGGATATTGCAAAATCTCATTCCCACCCCACTCTGGGGCCAGCCAGAGATGGCATTTGCCGGTTCTCCAAACTACTCAAAATGTCCGCTACCAGTTCTCCAGAACCTGTCAGAACCTGCTGGATTTCACCCCTGCTTCCCTCTCCTCCTGGCCTCACTAGCTGATAGATAAAAGTAAAGAGGCAGAGATGAAGTTGCAGGGAAGAGAAACCTTCTGAAATTAGGGTTTTGTTCCTTTGAATAATCAGATTTTTAATTATTGTTAAAATAGCATTTGTTTACTGCATTTTTTTTTTTAAAGAAAATGCTATCTCGGGAATATTAAAATGCCTTCAAATGTGCACAAACATGAAATTGATTCACACAGTGGATCCTTCCTTGTCCTCTTTCATCTATGCAAGGTGTCTTTTCTTAGTGTTCAGCTGTTCCTACCCACTTAGAATTACAGAAAGTATCCCCAATCCTTACAGGAAGCTTTTCAGCAGGGACACTCGCTTCCTCTAAAAGCATCCCAAAAGCAGCACAAAGAAAAACAGCAAGAAGGAGCGATCATAATAAAATGACATTTATCTATAACATAACGAAAAAGGCATGTCAATATAGAAAAATGCAAACCAATATTTCAGACTTTTGTTGGGTAGAATTTTGCTCCTAGGACAGGGGTGTCAAGCTCGATTTCATTGAGGGCTGTATCAGGGTTGTG